CAGCTTAAGCTCTGTAAAAAAGATTGGGTGGAAACCTCATTCCTTCCCCCCCCCACCCCCACCTCACCCACCTCCTCCAGTCCTTTCAACAAATAAGTTGAGTTAAGTTCAGGCAAAAATGAACAAATTTTTATGGTGTGTCAGCCTTTTAAAAAAAAACAAGAACAAAAACACCATTGACAGGTTAGGATCAAACCGGTTTCCAGATAAAGAATCATACTATCCAAGTTTTTTTTAAATAAAATTTATTCGCCAGGTATCCAACATGCGTTTCCTGGATGAAAATTTTGTTACTAGGTGCTATTACTTGTCGCAAGGGACGTTTCTGATTTAAAATAAATTTTAAAAAAGTCGTGTTAAAAGTTGAGAAAAGTTGACAGCGCCAATGTGGGGCAATCAGTATATCTTGAAGAGACTTTCTGGATGATCTGGCTGTGCAACCATAGTCTTCTTTAGCTCGCCATTTTCGTCAAATCCAACGATTCGCTGTTTATCATCCAGAAGTGACTGCAAGTAAAACTTACCATAACCGTCTTTCCCCCATCTCTTGTGAAACAGAATTTTGTAAGGAGCCACTTCTACGCTCTTCTTCATGAGCTTATCCAGAGGCTCTGAAGGATCCTATCAGAATAGACAAAAATTAGGCCAAAATCAAAGCTGTAACTCAATCTGTATTGTATCATGCATATAAGCGATAGATCCAGATAATGAATTGAAATTGAGCGTAAATGTTAACTCTCCGGGCAACTAGACGATTGGCACGCACAGGCAAAACAGATGATAATTATGATATGTAAGTTTTAGCCTCCTTATTCATTTAAAGAGTTGAAATTGTAGGGAAGCTTACGGTTATTCGTCGTACTTCCGGTGAATCATAATCGTTTGTCTCATAATTAAGTCATTCGATAAGCGACTGGACAGGCGTCACCTTATGCATCGCCTGAAGAAGACTTGCATTATACCGTCAAAACACCGCAATCCACATCGGAATGGACTTCATCGATAGACAAACGAATTTATTTCACCACAAAGTTTAAAAGTTCTTTGATCAATGACCAAAGGTGATTAAATTTCTAGCCGACTGAAATCGTTTCAGTCACGCACCTCTAGAGTGACAGTGTCATTCTCTTTGTCAACGGCCATAACTTTGCGAGATTTTGCGTGCTCCAAAATAACAACTGTTCTACCATCGGCATCCGGGGTTTGGTACATCTTAAAATTAGCTATAAAAAGAGCATAATGAGCCGTCATAGTAAATGAAATATTAAATGCCCTTAAGAGAAAATCAACAACTGATATTCT